CATGAAGCTATTATCGATATAGATTGGGTGTGTGTGTGTGTGTGTGTGTGTGAGAGAGAGAGAGAGAGAGAGAGAGGTGATTTGTTGCCAGCCATCAATTCGCTGGGTCCATTTCAAAGGAAGAGAGAATCGTCAGAAAGCAGGAAGTCAATTAGATGATTTTTTTCTCATGAAGAAGTGGGGGTTTTGTGATCTATAATTACCTGGTTGACATTAATGGAATTCTCCATTATGGGTTTTGCTGATATTCAGTGGCTGATATAGAACCAAGCTTCTGATCAGTGTTTAATCAGGAACCACTTATTGATCATATTTTCCTCCTCATTCTCAACTTAGTCCCGAGCTTATCAGGATGAATTTCGTGGATTTTTCAAGAAGAATTCGCTGATTGTTCTTATAAGTAAGTTGGGTCTTTCAGGCGTTATTCGAGTGAAAATGGAGGAAGATATTGCATCAATTGTAGAAATGGAGGATCAGGATGTATCAAATGAAGCTTATACTGATTCCCCAAAAGACCCAACTTCTGGATCTCTTAGTTCTAATGGGGAATCAATATGTTCAGACATGGAAATCAGTGAAAATCAGTTTTTGAGGGAAGGCTCTGAGAGAGGTGAGGGGAGTAACGTGGTCTTTTGCAAAGAATCACACCTTTCCAAGAAAGAACAATTACAAAATAACTTCAAATCAGAGGCTACAACATTTGATTTCAGTAAAAAGGATGGAAATGGCCAAGACAGAAGGCTCAACAGACAGGAACGAATAGAACTGGGTCGAATATTTCAGGGTGCCATGAGCTCTCTGGATTGGGAACGTGCAGAGAGCTTACTTCCATTAGTGGACACTCAAACTCTTAATGACTTACTGTGCATTGCACTGGATTCTATCTGGTTTTTGAGCACTGAGCAAGAGATTCAAGGGGCTTCAGGGTTGATCGAGAGGATCATTTTGAGTGGGGCTTATGATTTCACACGTGCAGCTCTTAGAACCTCTTTTCTAGCTTCGTGTGTCTCGGCTTGTCGGAGCCGGACCATGAACTTGGCTGATACAGTGACTGTCATGGCTCAAAGGTAATAATTTATTTTTTTACTTCTTTGGGATAAAAATGCTCTATGAATTGTAGATTTTAATCTTAAAATAGATGACCACAAATTCCATCTAGTGTCAAAGATAGAAATTGCTTAAAATAGACGACCACAAATTCCATCTAGTGACAAAGATAGAAATTGCTTACTGTCACAAAGATCAGAAGTGATCCTAGTCAAGTGATCTATGATCTATGTTTTTTTTTTTTGAATGTTAGACAATTTATATCTGTTGTAGTTCATGTAGTGGGTGGCAAGTTGGATTCTTCTCACTGGCTCTTGCCCTTTGATCGGAACTATCCATCTGAACAGTTTATTGGTGATTGGTGTCTATTCGTTTTGTTTGAGCACCATTACTTGCTGGTTTTGTTCCCACATAATTATCGAGCTCCTGTTTATCATAAGTAATATGCATCAAGTCATTGAAAAATCTTGTATCCTCTTTACACTGTAATGAAATTCGGTGATCAACCAAACAGAAAACAAAGTACTAATTACAACTTATGTGCCTTCAGTTTTCCAGTACTTCTGAATCTCTTGCTTGCCTTTCCTTCATGTGCTTTCCTTTCCTTCATGAGCCTCTTCAAAATGAGCACAGTAATAGCGTCATATGCGTTGAGCTCATTCTCTTATCCTTCGTGTGTTTCCTTGAATCACCCTTCATTGTGTTTAAGCCTCAGTCCCTTTTATAAAGGAAGGTTTTAAGAGTATTTTGCTACATTTTTTATTCATAACTTAGTTTTTCTGGTGCAAGTCTTCGTCACTTAAAATCAATCTCATCCTTCTATTAGAGACATTTCATACTGAGAAAGTATACTACATTCCAACATGGACTATGGAAAAACCGTTGTCCACTGAATCATTACCATCCATTGAGATGTGGATAGAAATGTTGACCTTGTGGATCCTACTCTCTTGCTCTCTCCATCCTGTCCATCATTTCAATGATGGTGATGACCATATATACTTTGATTTTTCGATTGTCCTTTGGATTACATCAATACAACATACTTTCCACATGCCAAATATGGATGATCCACATGCCTGATATGGATGTTAATGCATGCTATTTTCATATTTTGAGATTTCATGATGGTTTATGAGTATTGTCCTTATGTCATCATTAGACGACCAAATTGACGAGGTAGAGGTTGCTTTGGTTGATGCCGAGTATTGATTCTTTTTAACTTCTTATCATGCACATCTATCAATCTAGTGGTGAACCGACTCGTTCCTAAATGCATTAGGTTGCGTGAACGTCTTCAAGAATGTAATGGTGATGAAGTCCTTAAGGCTGAAGCAGGAGCCAAAGTTCAAAAGTTCACTGAATGGGCTTTGAAATGCATAGGCTCCCATTCTCGCAGTCGTGGGGATAGAGAAGGCGCAGTTCACAACTCTGCCACTGAAATTCAACTTCAACTTTCAGCATTTGGGGTATTTCTTGATCTTGCCGGTCATAATCTTACTGGAAAGGATTTTAGCGAGGCATTCGACGCTGCCTGCTTCCCTCTAACTCTATTTTCTAGTTCTTTTGATCCGGGCTGGGCATCAGGGATTTCAGCAACTGCTATACGAGGATTACTCGGGATGTTGGTGGAGGGGGGTGCTGATAATGTCAACCAATGTTTTCTTGAAGCCTCACGTTTTGGGAGCACAGAGCTTGTGCGCATTTTGCTTCAGGTAACTTGTGAATACCCATTGATTTTATTCCTTCTAACATCAGTAAGATTGAAATACATACATTTTTACTTGTGTATGTGTGTGTGTGGGAGGGGGGGGGGGGACTGGAACTTTTTTCGTAAGTTATCCACGTGGGAGTATCTGTAACGAATGCATACACTTTATTTTTTTGGTAATATTAGCACACGCATGCACGTGGCTATGAATGCCTTTACAAATGCCGACATGTACCTATATTTGCACGTGGCTATGAATGCTTTTACACATGCAGACATGCACCTATATTTGTTTTGGAGGATCTAATTGATATGTTTCATGCTAATTAAAGTGCAATTTAACTTTTTGATGGTTTATTTAGCAACAGATTTATTTTTCCTTATAGTCATAAAAGAGTGATAGGTGCCTCTCCTGTTCCCAAAATGCCATTAAAATTACGTATGTTTTTTTCTTCTATTCCCAAAGCGGGGAGGTTTGTTTAGATGACTATGACCAGTTATGACTACAACCTGTCGGGATTGCCTGAAAAGTTAAGCAGGCTGATATGACCATAGCGCTTCCAGATGGGTTTTTAATCTTTAGGAGTGTTCATTTATCATGCTGGAGATAGCTTATAACTGGTGTCAGAGGATTCTAATAGATCTGAAGCGGTCTTCTGGAACTTCTATTCATCTATGAATTGGATGCATGCCCTTTAGCTGTGTGTACTTTAGTTTATCTTTGTATAGGAGTCTGAATTGGATGCATACCCTTTGGCTGTGCGTACTTTAGTTTATCTTTGTATAGGAAGGACTCATGTGTGGCAATATTCTAGCTTTTCCAAATGAAAGTAGTCGATTGCATTCTGTTTTTGAAATTTCTTGATGAAGCTTCATTTCTCGCCACGAAGGTTAAGCTTGCTCTTGAATTTCTTTATAGGAAATCACCAAATGTCAGGAAATATTCATTGTACACGTGGATAATCAAAACTTGTTTCTTTGTATGGATTATGATTTATAAAACAGAGATAAGTAAGGGGACAGAGACCGTGTGGGTAAAAATGTAAAATATCAAATAACTCCTTGCTACCCAGTTCTGCCACTATGTTTTCCTCATGGGGTGCATAAGTGAAATTTGTAGTATAAAAATTCCGAAAGTCATGATATTTTGGATAAATTTCTTTCAATCCCAACCAGAGCAGGGTGTCTTTTTTAACACAATGGATAGCATTCAGGGAGTCTATACAGACATTCTTTGCCCTTTAAAAACCTAGCAAATCCAGTTTTGTATTTGCTTTGTCCCATGTGATGGTTTCAATGCTGAGATACCTTCCATAGAGTTTTGATATATCCCTAGTCTATTTGACACCCCCTCATATACCCTTTGACGTCTCTGGCACTTCACAAAGATTTTTTATTTTTTTATTTTGTGTGTGTGTTTTTGGTCCTAGGTGTTGGCTAACTGTGACAGAATCCTAGAGCTTTGAAAGTCATATGCAGAGAGCCTAGTTGTCAACACTCGTATGACTTTCTGCATATGACTTTCAAAGCTCTAGGATTCTGTCAAAGTTTCTTGCTTTAAAGGTCTAAAAAATCTGGTCATTTAATCTTTATATGTTAATAATTGCTTTGAAGGTCTAAAAAACCTGGTCATTTAATCTTTGATATGTTAATAGTTGCTAGAAAGCCACCTCAGTCTCACCAAAAAAAAAGAAAAGAAAAGGGATACCACTTTAGTGTTGTATCCATTTTGTCTAATGTATCAAAAAGCGCTAGGCGGGCCCTAGGCGGCCTGGGGGGTCCCAGGCCGCCCAGTGCCTAGAAGGCCGCCTAGGCGGGCGCTCAGAACATGGGCGGCTGCCCAGTTGAAAAAAAATACCAATATACCATATTCCAAGTTGAAAAAAAAAAACGACAAACGTCGAGAAGAGAAAGAGAATTTTGATAATCCATATTGTTAAAACAGTAAACTGTAATACCATACAAGTGTAGGATATAAAAGTCAACACTCAACACAACAGAAATATATAGAAATTTAGAAAATATACAGTCTAACAAAAGTCAAGACTCATGACTCAACACAACAGTCAACACTCGACACTTAGCACCAAGAGACAAGAGTCTTCAGTCGTCATCATCATCATCAGAAGGAATATTAGGGCAGGCCTCATCATATGCATCAGAGTCGAGGCCATCATCATCAGAGTCATTGCCCTCTTCAATATAATGCTCGTCCTCCTCTGTTTCTTCTGAATCTGTCTCGTCCTCCTCTTCTTCTACCTTCCTCTTACTAGTATGTGTAGTCTGTGCAGATGAGGCCCTAAGAGTCTTGGCTGCTCTACGATTTTTTTTGTGCTTCTCTGAACTCAAATATTGTATAATTTCCTCCCTGGTAGCCTCAGGAACATTTTTACACGGGGCAACATCCCCCTTAATATTGACAATGTGTTTTTTAAACCTGTAAATGCCCCTATTAGTATCCTTTCTACAATAATTACATTTAATACAATTTTTATCACATGTATTCGAGTTATAGCCATACTTCCAACCCGGATCACCACTCCGACTAGAACCTGGAGAAGATACTTCCATAGAATAAGGCTTAGTTTCATCCTTTTATGGTCCTTCTAAATTCAAAAGATGTCTAATCTCATCCTGAACTGCTTCAGGAACCTTTGTACAAGAAGCAATATTACCTCTAACACTAGCAAGGTGTTTTTGAATCGGCTAATACCCCCATTGGTATCTTTTTCACAAAAATTATACATTATAATTTTATCATTTGGTTTTGGGTTGTACCCATACTTCCAATCCGGATCACTTCTTCTAAAAGTAGCAAAAATAGATCTATGACAAGGATTTTATTCTTGTTTTTTATCATTTGGTTTTGGGTTGTACCCATACTTCCAACCCGGATCACTTCTTCTAGAAGTAGTAGAAGTAGCTAAAATAGATCTATGACAAGGATTTTGTTCTTGTTTTTTATCATTTGGTTTTGGGTTGTACACATACTTCCAACCCAGATCACTTCTTCTAGAAGTAGCAAAAATAGATCTATGACAAGGACTTTGTTCTTGTTTTTGTTTTACATAACTTATATAGTGCTTAATCTCCTATCTGATAGCTTAATCTCCTCTCTGATAGCTTCAGGAACATTTTTACAAGGGGCAACATCCCCCTTAATACTGGTAAGATGTTTCTTTAATCGGTTTATACCTCCTTTTGTATCTTTTTCACAAACATTGCATCTAACGTAATTTTTGTCATTTGGATTCGGGTTGTATCCATATTTCCAACCCGGATCTCCATTCCGACTAACTCTTGAGGAAGACATCTCAAAGTAAAACAAGCAATCTAAAAAATAAAGTTTTGCACTTACTTTGATTGCTTGAACTCCAAACTTTGAGAAACACCTCGATCCAATGAAATGTAGTTTTCTGGAGGGGTTTCTTTCTCTCTAAAAGGGATTCTTGTGGGTTTAGGTTTCACATGAACCTAAATAAATGTAGTTTTCTGGAGGTTTCTTTCTCTCTAAAAGGGGTTCTTGTGGGTTTAGGTTTCAAATGAACCTAAAACCCCTCCTTCTAACCTTTTATCTCTTTAAAAAAACATTTCCGCCTTTGGGCGGGGCGCAGGCCACCCGGGGCTGGGCATTGGGCGGCCGCCTAGGTGGGTTCCGTACCGCCTAGGCGGTCGCCCAGGGACCACCACCCAGTTTGGCAGCCTAGGCCTGGGCGATGCGCCCAAGCCTTCTGAACTGCCTAGGCACTGGGCGGTCCCTTTTTTGAACACTGGTTTGTTCCATCATATCCTGACCCATCTCACAAATGGGAAAAGTGCTAAGCATGATCCAGACTTTTTCAAAAGATTTTAACATAACTAACCAAATCATCCTACTAACTTGCAGTGGGAAAATGCTTTGTTCCATCATATACTGACCCATCTCACAAATGGGAAAAGTGCTAAGCATGATCCAGACCTTTTCAAGAGATTACACCATATTAGCAGTGGTATTCCCAGATGTTTGAGATATATTATCGGTAGAATTTATTTGAAAGTTTAATTATAAATTGACAATACAAAACTAAAAAATAAAATAAAATTACCAATGTTGTGGTTTGCTCAAGAATGAGAACTATGTTTTTGTTGTTTGTGAATCTACATGCAAAGGTATTCTATTTTAGCATGAAAATTGACTGCATATGATCCTTCACATGTGTAAAGATGAGAAGAGGGTTCTTACTCAAGAGGAATTGACACTGAAAACTCACTTTTGTCTGGTTTTTATTAATTATATTACATGCTTTTTTTTTCATATCTGATGCCTGCAAGGTGAAATTATACTGTCATTTTCAGCAAATTCATCTAAAAAACTGCACTAAATTCAGCTAGCTAAAAACTGTACTAAATTCAGCTAAAAAACTGCACTTAATGGTAGTCCAGGCAATATTATGATGAAACTGGGATTAGTATGATTTCCTTTTCTTTTATATGGCCTAGCCATTTAATAAACGAAATAGTATTCTTTCTTTTTATATGGCCTAAATGTGTTTTCAAGTGTCCCATCAAAAACAATGATTTCAACTGTCTAGATGAAAACTTATAATCAATCATTTGTTTGAACTCAATGTCCTATGCTAGAATTAGCATTTTTTCAAAATACATGTGATATGATGCGATGCTAAATAGTTGAAGGTTTAAGTAGTAGATAAGTTAGGTGTGTATTTGGCATTAAAGGAAAATAGGAAAATAGGGCTTGCAACAACTACTAACCACTGCGTAGTTCCCAATTTTAACACTAGTAGTTATGCGTATCCTTTTTTTTTTTACTCGAAAAATTGGGAACTACGTGGTTCCCAATTTTGGATTATGCGTGGTGGTATTCTAGAAATATTTGATTACTAAAAGGAAGTACACACTCTTTCTTTCTTGGAGAGATAATCACAAACTCAAGGGTTTTTTCACATATATCTCATTTCACAAGTTACAGTTAAATTGGGAACTATGCAGTGGTTCCCAATTTTCCAAATTTAATGGAAGTGCAGAATTATCTTCCTTCATGGTTTTGCTCCAATCCACAAACCCATTTTCCAAAATACACTTAATGGAAGTGCAGAATTATCTTCCTCCATGGTTTTGCTCCAATCCACAAAACCATTTTCCAAAACACACCTATCTATGAATGTTGTAGCTTCATGGTTTAGTTAATTAAAATTGTAATTCTTTAATGAGTGTTTTTCTTCCACCCCATCTTAGTTATTCTTCTTCTTTCTAGTTGGTTGTGAGTCTTGGGCTAGTGTGACATTGTTACACTATTTGAGAAGCAAATTGTTCCGGTATTGTGGCATTTGTCTTTCTCTACATGGTATCGGAGCCACAAGGGTGGTGGTAATGTTGTCTTTCCTCCATGGTTTAGTGGATCTTTTTCAACTATTGATTACAATTTTAATTTTTTTTTTAATTAGCCTACATGATTAAAGAGAGGTGTCTGGTGAGAAAATTGAGTCACATGTGTTAAGGTTAATATTGTGTGTTGAGATTGTAATGCCTTTGTGTACTCCATGTTTTTCTTTAAAGAAGTTTTCTTTCCACTTCATCTTATGTTTTTCTTTAATGAAGTTTTTTTTCTACTTCATCTTGGTTTTTCTACTTCTTTCTATTTGCTTGTGAGTCTTGGGCTAGTGTGGCATTGTCACACTAATTGAGAAGCGGATTGTTCCGGTGTTGTGGAATCCGTCTTTCTCTACATGGTATCAAAGTCACAAGGGTGGTGGTGATGTTGTCCTGACTCCTTTAGTGAAGAAGATCAATTGTCTTTTTGAAGATGGATTTGGGTGGAAGGTTGAATGGTTTTAATGTTGAGTTGGGAACTCAACTCAAGGTGGTCTTTCGATTTCCCAATTCTTCTTAAAGATCTAGAATCTCTGTTTGGAGATCTCTTGTTGATCTGCAGCAACTTATTTGGAGGCATGAATGAAGTGACTTATCAGTCATGGGTTAAAGAGGGAGTATATTCCCAATGTTACGTCTATTCAAGGGTGGGCTATGCAGCCCTACTTGGTGGAATTTGAGAATTTTTGGTTGCCTGTTAAATTGCCGGATTTTCAATTTTTGGAAATGATGGAGATGATCGCATATGCATGGTCTCCTTTTTAGAAAATCACTTTAAGAGAGAGTGTTAAAATTGTTAAAGTGTATTTTCTAGAAAGTATGTGTATTGTTAAAGTGTCTTTTCTAGAAAGTATATTAGTTTTTATGTTATTTTATCATGAGTGATGTAGTAAGGTTTTACTTGTAAGTTTGTGTAGTAGGAAGTTGTAAAACTATTAGTAGTTATTGTTTGTTGTTACCATTTAAAGAGTGGTGTGTGGTGAGTTTGTGTGGTAGGAAGTTGTAAAACTACTAGGTGGTTGGGGTCATATGTTTTAAGGTTAATCTTGGATGTCAAGATTGTAATGCCTTTGTGTGCCCCTGGGTCACATGTGTTAAAGTTAATCTTGGGTGTTAAGAATGTAATGCCTTACCCCATGTTTTATCTTTGAATGAAAAGATGAGTCATGTGCATTTTTTGAGATATTTATGACAGAAAAACCTAGGCAAGTGGAGAAATTTAGTCAAGGAGGTAGCTAACTATGGTTGGTGGTGTTAGGGATTAGGAGTCTAGGGAGGTGGATAAGTTATCGCTAGGCGAGTGTTGTTAAATTCTTGAAGAGTAGATGAGTCTTTATCATTCAGGGCAAGTGTTGTGTGGCTTGATCGTTGGGGGTCTAGGAAATTATAAGAGGGTATGAGGTCTTATAATTCTAGGGTACGGTGGGCAATGCATATATGTGGGGCTCATTCAGGGCAAGTGTTGTGTGGCTTGATCGTTGGAGGTCTAGGAAATTATAAGAGGGTATGAGGTCTTATAATTCTAGGGTACAGTGGCCAATGCATATATGTTTATTAGGTTTAGAGAAAGTCAAGCTAGTAAGACTGAATCCTTAAGAGATATAGGTAGGGTTTGCGTTCTGGCTTGAGATATTTAGAGAAAGTCAAGCTTGCGTTCTGGCTTGAGATATGGGATTTTTGTTGAGGGCTAAGTTCAAAATGTCGGCTCGCCAGCTACCTGGGCGGGTTTCCCCTGGTGGTTGGTGGGCCTCACCACCCTGCCTTGGGCTTATATGGCCTAATGCGGGACGGTGTCCTTGGGCTGCCGACTAATTGCCCAGGGCCCTTTTGGCGAAGCCCGAAAATGGGCTTTGCCAAAAAGGCAAAATTGTTGTTTACCTGCCTTGAAGAGGGGGGAAATTGTATTTTGGGGGTATTTTGTCCTCTCAAACCCCAAGACAACTTGATTTGTGCCACAAAAACGATTTTTTTTAGTGTTTCATACACAAAAACGAATTTTTTTTAGTGTTTCATATTTTTTGTAAATATTGTGTTATTTTATATTTTGTTATTGTTTTCTTGTATTTATTTTTGAAGTGTGTCTTTACATTTATGATGAAACTGATCATAGTATCTAAATATTTTTTCTTTGTAAACATTGTGTTATTTTATATTTTTTTATTGTTTTCTTATATTTATTTTTGAAGTGTGGCTTTACATTTATCATGAAACTGATTATAGTATCTAAATATATTTTCTTTCTTTTTTTTAAGGGTTTTCTATTTTAGTGATCGTAGTATCTTTTTTTTAAGGGTTTGCTATTTTAGTGATTATAGTATCTTTTTGGCTATGTTTTTAATATAAAATGCAAATTTAAAAATTTATAATATATTTTTTTCTTTGTTTGGCTTTATTTCTAATTTATAATGCAAATTTGAAAATATTACTATTTGATTGGCTATATTGGGTAATATTAAAATTTATAACCAAACAGTATTATATGTCAAAATTTATAGTGTTTCATATTTTTTGTAAATATTGTGTTGCTTTATATTTTTTTATTGTTTTCTTGTTATTTTATATTTTTTTATTGTTTTCTTGTTATTTTATATTTTTTTATTGTTTTCTTGTATTTATTTTTGAAGTGTGACTTTACATTTATGATGAAACTTCATAAATATTTTTTTTCTTTTTTTTTAAGGGTATCTTTTTTGTAAGGGTTTGCTATTTTAGTGATTATAGTATCTTTTTGGCTATGTTTTCAATGCAAATTTAAAAATTTATAATATATTTTTTCTATGTTTAGCTTTATTTCTAATTTATAATGCAAATTTGAAAATATTACTATTTGTTTGGCTATATTGGGTAGTATTAAAATTTATAGCCAAACATAGTATTATATATATAACCAAATGTAGAGTAATATTTCAAAATGTATATAAGAAGGGGCCAATAGGAGGGGTTATCCATTTTAGGCAAGATTTTAGAAAATGTATCGTTGACCTGGATTGCCCCTATGTATTTCCGATCCAGTTCAGCAGATCGGCGATCTAGTAATTTTAAAAAATAAAAAAATTAAGTGGGGCCTGTTTTGGCCGGTACTCTTAAAAAAATTGACTAGTTTTGTCAAAGAACCGGCGGGTTCAACGATTTAAAAAGTTAAAATTTTAAAAATGTGGATCCCGGTTTTGTCATAGAGCCAGTATGGACCGGCCTGGTTAATGGTGGGAATCAGCCGATTCCCAATATTTTACAAGATTTTGACCGGCCCGACAATTCTCGATCCGGATCGGCTGGTTTCGAACTTGGTTACCGATTTTGTAATCATTGATTTTAAGTTTCTTCTAACATTGTCATTCTTGGGTTTATTCTGTTATGCATTGATTGTCAAGGCTTAATGTACGGTATTCATGAGGTGTGATTGTTTTTATGGGTGCTTCCCTAAATTTATTATAGTATAAATTCAGTCATCCCTAAATTTATTATAGCATAAGTTCAGTCATGACCGAAGTCTTTTCCGGCACATAGTCACTGTACTCTCTTTTCTAGATAATATATATTTTTTTCGAGAAAAGTTGACTTTATATTTACCCTGCTCTCTTATCATGGAATATACGCACTAGCCTTAATCTTTATGGAAAAGAATCAGAGTTTGTTTCCCAAATTAAAATCATACATTGATATTGGAGAACACCATATTTACCCTGCTCTCTTATCATGGAACATGCGCACTACCTTAATCTCTATGGAAAAGACATACAGTTTGTTTCCCAAATTAAAATCATCTCTATGGAAAAGAAGCACAGTTTGTTTCCCAAATTAAAATCATACATTGATATTGGAGAACACCATATTTACCCTGCTCTCTTATCATGGAACATGCGCACTAGCCTTAATCTTTATGGAAAAGAATCAGAGTTTGTTTCCCAAATTAAAATCATACATTGATATTGGAGAACACCAGAAATCACTCCATTATCTAAATTTCATGCTAGGAAATTCATCTAAAAAGTTGGATATAAACTGATACAAAAGAGAATGACAGATTAGCCAATCTCCAAAGGTATTCAATGTGATTATCATAGAAACCATTTTGGTAATGATTATCATAGAAACCATTTTGGTAATGCATTAAAATCGTGTATTACCGATTCCATTCATGTACCCAGGTAGGAATAAAATTTAACAAACCAGGTTTAAGAAGTTGGTAAATAGTGATATCAGTAGAGATGTGATTTTGTTTTGGAGGGATTTGTTGGGAACTTTTCTGCTTTCAAAATGCTCTATTAAAATACTAAATATCAATAAAGAAAGAAGGTTATAAGAAGAAATAGCACATGATCATGGGAGTCCCTGCCACTGTAGGTTAGGTTATGTGCATTTTTTTATGAGTCAAGTTTTACCAGAGCTTGATATTGATGCTAGAATTCCTATGGTCACAGATCGCCCAACGTAATAGTTTGGACGTGGATGTGGATCTCGCCCTGGGCTTTGCCGCACACTATGGCAAGATTGGGACAATGGAATGCTTGGTTGATGAGGGCCATGCCTCCGCCTTCCTTGGCCCCTTGATGCGCGCTGCGGAGCGTGGGTGCGCCCCAGTTGTGCAATGGTTTGTGGGCCGGGGGTGCCGTGACATGGAGCTATGCCTCGCGCTCACTGCAGCCGCCTCTGCTGGCCGTGCCCACATTGCTGCCCTCCTCCTCCCCCTTGTCCCCGGACCCCTCCTCCAAGCACTAAGCACTGAGATCCTCAAAGCCGCAGGTGCAGCCTCCCTGGAGGGTATCACCTTCTTGCTCCAATCCAACTTCCTCGGCTCCCCTGAGGCCACCTACACTGCATCTGACATAGTGGCCAAATGCGAGGATGAGGGGGTGAAGTCCAAGCTGAAAGAATTTTTGATTGAGAATTGGTCTGAAGAGGCATTCATGAAGGGGAGGGAGGAATCAAGGGACCATTATGTCAACGTGATGAGGGTGGTGTCGAGGGGAGGCTCAGAGTTGAGCATAGGGGATTTGCCTGTGGAGCTTAGGGTGGGGATTGCGTACCTTCCGTTGTATAGGGAGTGTGTGGCTTGCGGTGGGAAGCTGTTGTCCCAGAGGCTGAGGGGGCAGGTGGTGGAGGCAGTGTGGAGGCTCGGGGCAGGGGATGTCGCATCGATGAGCTCACAGGATGAGCTGCTCACTGTGTTTGAGCGCCACTTGCCGCCTTTTTTGATTAGGGCCTCGTAGTGAGTGTCCCTCTCTCGCTCGCTCTCTCTCTGGAGGAGTTGCTTGCCATCCTTGGGCTTCCCTGCCACCCTTTTTGCTCAAGGGCGACAGTGATCTCTCTCTCTCTCTCCCTCTCCCTTTCCCATGACTGTTGCATTATATATATATATTGTAAAATTAGCATCACAGTGAATTCTCTTAAGTGCACCATTTATAGTTTATAATCTACATCTTTTCTTTCAGGGGCCTTTCTGCTCATTTTTCCTTCAAATTTGTTGTTAAAAGCATCATAAATTTTTTGGGAACGTGTATGTATGTATGTGTTTGGTGCTGGAAATGTCACATTATGTCAGGAAATCACATATGTTTTCCCCTATTTTAGTGGCTTAATCTTTGCATTAGAATCTTTTGTTAAAATGTGATAGTCTTATCCAAATTAGTGTTTAAAAAGTCAAACTGGGGCTCCCCCGTGCCAGGGGCCCGAGCCAAATCAGACTGGGGCTCCCCCATGCCAGGGGCCCGAGCCCAAGCCTTCTCAGTCTAACTCAGGTGAGTCCCAGCCAGATTGGGTAAATACAAAATTTTTGAAAATTATGAAAAAGGGTGGCTAGCGTAAAATTGTCAAATCTTGTCATGAATGTTGAACCTATAAACAGAACAGCGGAACATGATTCATGTAGTTGATATCAAATAGTTGAGATAAGATTTAGATGATGATGATGATGATGACGATGATGATGAATGATGATGATGATGATGATGAAAAATGGTGGCTTAGGTTATTTGGCCTTGAATCGCTTGGCTCCCGATCCTGTCTGACTCGGACAAATCCAAAAACAGAGTGGGGATTCTTTAGACACAAGTGGAAATGGAAATTAGCAAAGCTAGTGCTTTTAGATCCACAGAGCTTTATGCCTCTTCAACTGGTCCGTTTACAGAGAAAATTCCTTTGTCTCATGATGCAATGGAAATGGAAATTAGTAAAGGTTAGTGCTACCAGCTCCATACTGTTTGTGCCTCTTCAGTTGATCTTTTTATGGTGAAATGCCACACAATTATCACAAATGTTATCAAATTGTCTTACACCGTTTGAGCCTCTTCCTTTGATTTTTGTTAGGCAAAATGCTTCATAATTGGGATTTATATATAAATAGACTTCGTAACTCACTTTAAAGCATCCAATTTGACATCAAATGAGTAGGAATAATTGTGATCTTCATGTACAAAAGATAAATAATTTTTTTATAAACAACCCAAGCCTATATGTACTATTTTGGTGCATCCAATTTGACATCTCTTTGTGAACAACCATTTTTTTTAAGAGGGCCTATATGGTGTACTACTTTGGTGCATTTTAAATCTATGATTAGATATGCTTGAAGTCTCTTTTTTTCTTTCTTATGTTTGTCCACTCTTACTAGGATCATCCCAAAAATTGGGCTTCAAATATTTGCTTAACCCCAAAATATAGGGATAGACAAAGTTGTACAAGAAAACGCTTATGGGTGAAGTTCTACAATGAAATGCCTACAAGCAGTTCTAAATTTTGTGTGTATGTGTGCATATATTAGATCAACCCTATTAGGACCCCGCCCAACCTGTCTAGAATAAGTTAGGGCTTGACCAAGACTGCAGATCGACCCGACCCAACTTGCATCCCCTATATATTGTGAAATTTAAGAAATACCCCCTGTATATTGTGAAATTTAAGAAATACTCTCAATGTTTCATATTTTACGCTTGTCCTACTTTTCTAGAGCATGTATTTAAATTTCGTTGTTTTATACATATATCATGTTTTTGGAGTCTATCCTTCTCAAACATCATGCACCTGTGAAAAATATAGAAATAATCATTTGAAATAAAGAAAATGATGAAAATGACTAAATTATCAATAAAATTCATAAGGAAATATTAGTCTTTTTTTTTATTAAATTAAAAAATATATAATATTTTTATATGTGCATGATAGTGAGACGCTTGAACACCAACCATTGAAGGATTGTGACACTCCTAAAAGCCACCATTTGGCTGATTTGCCTCCTGCATTTCTTATTCTTATCTATGATCATCATCATCATCATAGTCTTTTTCCAATTAATTGAGGTTGGCTTATTTTTATTTTGTATGTATGATGCTGTAGGTAGTCCTTATACCCTTATCTCTGCTCTATGATGATACACTATCCAAAAGTGAGATGTGAGCATAAAAAATGAAATATTAGAAATATTTTTTAAAATTTTATATTTATAAAAGTCTCTCTTTTTTAAGACATTTTTTTAAGTGAAAATATGTTCGAACATCTGTTTTTTAGGTTTTATTTCTCAATAGACCCAGGATTTAAAAAAATATTTGACGGTATAAAAATTCCACAAAGTATATCTTCTAATCCCGTAGACTAACTTTAGCCCTTTTGACCTCACCTTTTAACCCAAACAAAATAAAAAAAGAATACCATTTTTAAACCCCATAACTCTCTCTCTCTCTCTTCCAGTGTTTCTAAATATCAAGCTAAATATAGGAGTCGAGTCGGTTCATTGCCTTCATTTTGCTAAACATTCACAATATAAAACTATGCAAAACAACTAAAAGGAAAAGAAATAAACTAGAAGAGAGAGAGAAAGAGATTTTGAAAGGAATAGAAAATGATGTTTTTTTTTTTTGTTGTTTGGGTTAAAAAGATGTGGTTAAAAAGAGTAAAGTTGATTCAAAAGGTTAGAATATATATTATATGATCTCTACGCCACTAAATATATTTTCAAACCCCAAATATCTTAAGAAATGAAACCTAAATAGAATACGGAGATATTTTTCCAATTTTTAAACTCCACATAATATAAAGGATATTTATGAAAATTTCTCCTATTTTGGTGATTACTTGTTATGACCATGTCAATAAATCATTTGAATAGAATATATTTGTTTCATTCGTGGCATGATTATAGTCATAATCTTCTCCATCTAATCATATTACCAGCTAGCTAAAGTTGGTTCTGTCCATTCAGTTCATGGGTTAATGATTTCTTCATTTGCTTCTCCTTAACATCTCTCAAAATACAAAGCTTCCAATCAAACCAAACTATTCTCAATAAGGAATTTCTTAGTGGATGTGTAAAAAATATTTTTTCTTCCTCAGTGGGCCTCTCGTGGGAGCACACTGTATACTTATTTCCTTGGGCAAAAGATATATTTAGATAAAAATTTTAGTATGAAATTTTAGGATCTGTTTCAGAATCATCAAATGAGTGTTTTTAGAAGAAAAAAAAATCGAGTTCGTGAGATAGTGAAAAGAACTTATAGAATGCATATAGAACTTTTCCTTTTTTGAAAATTATTTGTATATTATCAAAATTTTAGGTGTTGAAATATACTCCTAGATACGGTTCTAACCGGGGGAATGAATAGCTGATATACTCTTGTGGGAGTGTATAATCTTCTAGCTAATCCTGAGGAAATTTATTCTTTTAATTTCTGTACTATATAAAAAAACTTTGAGCATCAACAAATTCTTACTCTGCTTGTGCCAAATAGACCCAAAGTAAAAAAAAACCTAAATTTAAAAGCAGGGCCATATTTCCACTCTTAACCATATGAACATCTTCTGAGAGACAATAACAACCCAAAATCAGAATGATAACAATCTTCAATGGATTTTGATTTTATTTTATTTTTAAAAATATTATTGATTTTTATTAATCAATGATTAAGTATAATGCTCTCAAGAAAGCAATACGTCATATACTATAGTGGAATGCAATTTAACTCCCCGTTTTGCAAGTCCATCAGCAATATCGTTAGCCTTCATAAAACTTGCAAGCTCACACATGGTTCCAAACTAGCATCCACTTCCTTCTTAATCGAAAGGATCCATGTGCAAATGCAATATCGCATTTTTGAGAAAAAAAAGTAAAAAAATCAAAAAAAAGAAAAGAAAAAAAAATTTCTTTCAAAACATAAATCGCAAAAGAAAATAGGGGGCAAATATCATTGAGATGGTTAACCACCTAAAAAGCAATGAAATGGTAAATCAATAATTTTATGGACAAATGTTATTTTGTAAAAATTCATTCATTTGGATACCTCCTCAAGAATATTATATACCCAGATTTTGGTAATTAGACCCACTTACTTCACTTTCATCAACTGGTCTAATGCCCCTGTTTGCTCTGGGCTCCAAATATAAAGCAAAAATGATAATTTGGCAGTTTAGCCCCACTTAAATTACCCAAGCTAAAAAACATAAAATCCCGGGCTTTAAACCCAAACAATATTCTTTTATGAAAATATGATCAATATTTATAGCCTAGAACAAGCAGAGCATTTAAACCCGAACAATATTCTTTTATGAAAATATGATCAATATTTATAGCCTAGAACAAGCAGAGCATTTAGGTCACTAGGCTCCAGTAACTCAAGTGTTCAAGTTACCAAAATTCCCTTACCTTTTCAGAGTTCCAAGTTTAGAACAGGGCAGTTTGGGCTTTCTCTAAAAATAGTTGAAGTCGTCCAAAAGTGAACTAATTTGTAAAAGGTACCCACTATTGGTAAATCGATTGATTTAACCACATCATTGATTTTTTTGTAGTTTGATCAACTTATAGATATTTTCCCAGATGGAAAAAAATAGACAAAAAAAAATCTCTTTGCTTTCTATAAATCGGTTGCATAGACCAAAAAAGCCATGCAAAAATTAAATAATTAAAAAAACGACATATTTCCATTCAAAACCATAAGAAAACCCCCTCATAGACACCAAGCACCAAACCCAACTCACAGTGATGGCAATGTTTAATGCCCATCAATGTAGTAATTTGGAAGAATTTTTTTTTTTAAGTTGACTTTGTATTAATTGTAAGGATGTAGAAGTATAAGTAATTTGGAAGAATTTGTTGATACCAAGTAAAATTGCCCTTGCCCTCCAGCTTATCTGGCCTAAAGAGAATAGTAAAATCTCTAGGTTTGATCACATCCTTTGGAAGTTAAAACCCACTGTACATAAGTTGCACAGAGACATCCATTCATCAGAAAATTCAAATGGAGGCACCACATTTCCATTCAAACCATGAAAACCTGTTTTTGTTTTTTTTTTGGGATAAGTGGGAGAAGGCCCCTACCCTTGGTAGGAATTGAGCCTAGGACGTAACATTGCAAATCTTCAAGCGCTAACCAATTAAACCTGGGCTCTTTTTCCCTAAAACCATGAACCTTACATGCAATAAGCAGCTAACCAGATAAAAAATGATGGCAG